TATGTAGTATATTTTAAGTAGCATCTTCCACATTCTGCCACTGTAAAGTTTTTATGTTGCACTTTATAAATAAAAAGTATATTGTAGAGATATATTTTGAAACTGTAAATATCCTGTTACTCTTTAGACTTTCATTCACTTGTTTTTTTAATCCATTGTTGACTCTTCCTATGGTACTTTTTATTTCATAGTTTTAAAAATATATTTAATGGGGGCTTTTGGGATGAGCACTGGGTGTTGTATGGAAACTAATTTGACAATAAATTTCATATAATAAAATAAAATAATAATGGGGGCACCTGAGTGGTTCAGTCAGTTAAGCATCCAACTCTTGGTTTCAGCTCAGGCCATAATCTTACAGTCTGTGAGATCAAGCCCCACATCAGGCTCCACGCTGACAGCATGAAGCCTACTTGAAATTCTCTCTCTCCTGCTCTCTTTGCCCCTCCCTTGCTCACTCGCTCTCTCTCAAAATAAATAAGCAAAATATGTGTATTTAATGTATTTATTTTTAATATATTTAGTATATTAAATACATCATGTTAGTATATACTTACTAAAATTTAATATACTGAATAATCCATTATCATATTTGAACTTTTTAAAGTACAAAAGGATACAATGAAAAGATGAAAAGTCTTTTGCCCACCTCTGGTCTCTAGATACCTGGTTTATTTGTGAATCCATCTGGGGACAGTTTGTGCATATGTAGGTAAATGTTGGTAAATAAAGACATATATGTATGTAATTTTACACCTGTTTACCCAAATGGAAGCATAGTATATACACTGTTCTGTACCTTGCTCTTTTTCACTAAAACTATTTATCTTGAAAATCATTACATATATATTCCATTTATCTATGAGTGCTTAACAAATAACCCCAAAATTCGGTGGCTTAAAATAGTAAAAATAAAACATGTTTAGATTATCCGTCACAGTTCTGGAGCTTGTCTAACTCAGCTACACAGTTCTCACTTGGGATCTCATTCAGTTGTGGTCTGACAGTGTCTGGGGCTGAAGTCACCAGGAGGCTTGTCCATTTGAATATCTAGGAGTTGATACTGGTTGTTGGCTGGAACCTTGCCGGGAGCTGTCACCTAGAACGCCTACAGATGACCTCCCCCATGTCTCTCCACTTCTTCGCAGCCTGATGTCTAGGTCCCAAGATTATGTGCCCCAGAAAAGGACCAAGTGGAAGCTGCGTGAATGTTTATGACCTAGCCTCAGAAATCATACAGCATCATTTCAAATTAGTCACAAGCATGCCTGGGTTGAAGGGGAGAGAACACAGACCCAACCTCTTCATGGGAGGACTGTACAAGTCACACTGTAAAAAAAGCGTGTTAGATGGAACATTATTGGAATCACTTTGAAACATACAGCCTGCCATGATCTAGATCTACATCATACTTTCTCAGTAGTTGTGTAGCATTCCCTTGTTTGAATATACCATAATTTGTTTAACAGTCTCCTGTTGATGGACATTGGGGTTGTCTCCCATCATTCACTGTCACAAACAACACTATAGCAAATAACCTACCTCATAGTATATATCATTTCTCATGTGTGGCGTTTATCCTACAGATATACCAGAAATGCTAAGTCAAGGAATATAGAGATTTTGAAAATTAGTATGTATTTCCAAATAGCTCTCCAGAGAAATTGTCCCAATTTTACTCCCACTAGCAATATATCAGGATCACCTATTTTCCCAAAGCCTCACCAATGCAGTGTTATCAAATTTGGGGATTTTGGACAACATGATAGATTAAAAAATGTTGTCTTGGTGTAGTGTTAATTTTTCTTATTATGAGTGCGATCAGACACTTTATCCCATACCTAAAATTCATCAGTATTTGACTGTATTTTCTTTTGTGTCTTTTTTTATTATCTATTTGTTAGAGTTCTTTATATATTAGGGAAATTGGCCTATGAACTGCATATATTTTTCTGTTTGTAATTTGTCCCATCACTTTACTTATGGTGGTTTTTGCAATAAGAATTTCGTTGTTTCTATGTATATAACAGTATTTCTTTTATGGCTTCTTGTGTATGGGTTATAGTTAAAAAGTCCTCTTGCCCCCAAAGTTATAAACCAGTTCTTCCATATTTTCTCTAGTACCTTTACATTGAAATCTGATATATTTAGAAATCTGATTTACAGTGTAAGACATGAATACAACTTCTTTTTCATATGGTTACTTCATTGTCTTAATATTGTTTAATAAGTCTACCTTTATTGTATATCAAATTCCCAGTTTCATAGAACATTATATAGATTTTATGGTACTTCACAGTTGACTCGTGTTATAGTAATCTTTACAACAATAATGTATATGTATCCTTTCAAAATAAGCACACATCTTTTTTATCTCTTCATTAGCTCCCTAAGTGTAGCATACTTTCTGAACTTTCAGTAGTTAAATTAAACTTTTGACTTCATTTTGAGCTATGTTGAAGCCTGTGAAGAGGGTAAAAGAATGCATTTTGTCAAAGCACAGCTAGAAACTAAGACTTATTGTTGTCTAGGTATTTGTGTTTCAGGGCTGATCACTAATCATAGGTTTACAAGGATTCTTGGTAAATAATATTTAGTAGTTCCTAATGAGACAGACCTTACAAAAACAGACACATCTGTTGTAACACTGAAACAAATGATTGTTGCCAGCAGCTTTACTTATAATTAATGTAGGTCTCTAACATTCCAGAGGACCTGACTGGGACACTGGATTATATGATGAAGGGAGTGCGACAGTCCGAGAGCTGCTTACTGAACTGTATGGCAAAGTTGGAGAAATTCGTCACTGGGGCCTGATCCGATACATCTCTGGAATCCTAAGAAAGAAGGTGGAAGCACTCGATGAGGTACTATAAATTCTTGAATTTATAACAAATCTAAATGGAGGTGCTTTGTTTTAAGCATTTCAAAAAAAGTAAATTTATTTTTTAATTTATTTATTTAAATTCAAGTTAGTTAACATATAGTGTAGTATTGGTTTCAGAAGTAGAACCCAGTGATTCATCACTTACATATGACACCCAGTGCTCACCCCAAAAAGTGCCCTCCTCAGTTCCCGTCACACATTTAGCCCATCCCCTCATCCACCTTCCCTCAAGCAACCCTCAGTTTGTTCTCTGTATTTAAGAGTCTCTTATGGTTTGGCTCCCCCTTATTATCCTATTTTGTCTTCCCTTCCCCTGTGTTCATCTTTTTGTTTCTTAAATTCCACATATAAGTGAAATCATATCATATTTGTCTTTCTGACTGACTTATTTCACTTAGCATAATACATCCTACTTCCATCCCTATTGTTGCCAATGTCAAGATTTCATTCTTTTTGATCGCCAAGTAGTATTCCATTATGTATATATACCACATGCTCTTAATCCATTCATCAGTAGATGAACATTTGGGCTCTTTCCATAATTTGGCTATTGTTGACAGCACAGCTATAAACATTGGGTGTATGTGCCCCTTCAAATCAGCATTTTTGCATCCTTTGGATAAATGCTAGTAGTGCAATTGCTCTGTCATAGGGTAGTTCTATGTATAATTTTTTGAGGAACCTCCATACTGTTCTTCAGGGTGGCTGTACCAGTTTGCATTCCCACCAGGAATGCAATGCATTCCCGTTGCGTTGCATCTTCGCCAACATCTGTTGTTTCCTGGGTTATTAATTTCACCCACCCTGACAGATGTGAGGTGGTATCTCATTGTGGTTTTGATTTGTATTTCCCTGAAGGTGAATGATATTGAGCATCTTTCCATGTGTCTTTTAGTCATCTGGATGTCTTCTTTTGAGAAGTGTCCATTCATGTCTTCTGCCCATTTCTTTATGGGATTATTTGTTTTTTCGGTATTGAGTTTGATAAGTTTTTTATAGATTTTAGATACTAACCCTTTCTCAGATATGTCATTTTCAAATATCTTCTCCCATTCTGATGGTGCCTTTTGGTTTTGTTGATTGTTTCCTTCACTGTGCAGACGCTTTTTATCATGGTGAGGTCCCAATAGTTCCCGTTTGCTTTTGTTTCCCTTGCCTCCAGAGACATGTCTAATAAAAAGTTGCTGCAGCCAAGGTCAAAAAGGTTGCTACCTGTTTTCTTCTGTAGGATTTTCATGGTTTCCTGTCTCATATTTAGGTCTTTAATCTATTTTGAATTTTTTTTTAATTTTTTTTAATTTTATTTTTTATTTTTTAAAATTTACATCCAAATTATTTAGCATATAGTGAAATAATGATTTCAGGAGTAGATTCCTTAATGACCCTTACCCTTTTAGCCCATTCCCCCTCCCACAATCCCTCCAGCAACCCTCAGT